ATATGAAAGCATGCCATCCCAACTGTAAATCATGTCCCTCTAATGTCAATAATCTTGTATTCCTCAGTAAGATCCATTCTCTCATCCATGATAATGCTGCAGCCTGATAGTACAATTCCCAATTAGGTAGACCAAACCCACCTCTCAGTCTTGTATCTTGTAACATTTTTAGATTAATCCTTGCCTTTTTTCCCCTGCCCAATATATTTCAAGATTATTTTATTAAGCCCCTCAAAATATTTCTTATCTAATCTTATTGGTATTGTTGAAAACAAAAACAATAATCGTGGTAATATATTCATTTTGATTATCGCAATCCTTCCCATTAATGATAGTTCTACATTTTTCTTTAAAGAAGATCTCAGCTTCAGGATTTTTCAAGGAATCTTGAGCTAATAAAATCAAGTCACTATTAATCTCATTGATCATAAGACAAGTAGTATTTAGAAGTATTCTTCAGCAAGCAGAAAAAGATGCAACTTTCCCCACACTCTTACGTGAATGAGTCTCGTGTAAAATATTGATTTCACAAGCTTACGATTAGATCCCTTCAGTACTTCATAAAGAATAAAATCTGCCAATTCTTAAATGATTAAAGAAGTAAAGAAATACCATCTCACCAGCTGTGAATCCGTTCCTTAACCTTCCTTCAGGTGATAATTCCCTGAAGTAGCGCTCAAGAATGCTTGAGCTCCACTCCCAAATACACTCCCAAATACACATCACTTCCCATAAGGCACACCTTATGGAATTTGTTTCCTGCTGAATTTCTTAATCTTTGGCTCTCCGGGATCTTAAAACAATTGCAACACATCAGCCAATGCAACAATCACTGCAGTTTGAATCATTAAATTTAGCATCTAGAAATACATTGGGTGAAACTAGAAATAACACAAAGGAGATAAAAGAACAATTTTCTAATCTAAATCTACAAACTCGGAACATGACTAGAAAGAAGGAATTAACATGCAGCTAATAGAAGAAAAACTAGAGCAATCAGATCCCAAGATGGAGGACTTAAAGGAAGGAATTGACCGACAGATCAAGACAACTGAAGAATTAGAAGATGGAGTGATAATATTGAAAATGGAAAAGGCCTCTTACAAATCAAGAATTCAGAATATATTTGAGGAAAAGGAAGAAGAATTGATAGATTTGGAAGATAGAGCTGTTAGGACGACTATGGGGAATGGGAGAAGGAGGAAGGCTGTTTAGTGAATATCAATGGATTTGTTCTTCCAAAAATATAATAATAATAATAATAATAATAATAATAATAATAATAATAATAATAATAATAATAATAATAATAATAATAATAATAATAATAATAATAATAATAATGTTGGAAAGGACCTTGGAGGTTATCGAGTCCAACCCCCTGCTCAGGCAGGAAACCCTACAACATTTCGGACAAATGGCTGTCCAGTCTTTTCTTAAAAACTTCCAGTGTTGGAGCGTTCACTGCTTCTGGAGGCAGGTTGTTCCACTGGTTAATTGTTCTCACTGTCAGGAAATTCCTCCTTAGTTCTAGGTTGCTTCTCTCTTTGGTTAGTTTCCATCCGTTGCTTCTTTTCCAGCCTTCAGGCGCTTTGGAGAATAGCTGGACTCCCTCTTCTTTCTTATCCCAAACAATATGCACAAAAACAGAGGAAAAATTATGTGATGATTCAAAGGCCCTGACTGGGAAAGTTAGCTGGCAAAGGAAGAAAGCTAGAGTAAGACTGAAGAAAATAGAGGTTCTGATCCACTAGATGGGATATTACATTATTAATTAGATGGTTGAACATGGTGCAGAATAGATAATTGTTAGAAATTGAAGTATTACTATAATTAGAAATATAAGATTTGTAATTAGAATATTAGATCTTGGTATGAGAAGGGAAACAGAAAAATGCTATGAAGTTTAAATAAGGGAAACTTTTGGTCACCTAAATATAACTTACTCTGAAATTACAAACAATATAGACATTTTGAATATTGATGGGAAATTAAAATAAAAAAAAGCAAAAACAGGACATTGATTGACTATATGGATGTTAAGTGCAAATGCAATTAAGATATGTACTGGTTAGAAAAGTTACTTAAAACTGACACTATTGATAAATGTAACAAAGATGTTTATATTTAGCTGATAACAACAAGAATTGTATTTTTCCCAGCATGGAAAAATAGGTATTGCTGGAAGAAGAGAGGAAACATTTTGATGGTGTAATATTGGATTTAGACTAAAGAAGTTAATATCGCTGAATTAGTAATGGATCCAGACAACAGGTTGCTTATAAAATATTTGACTGTAAAACCAGAAAATTAATAAAATATTTATATAAAAAAAGAATACTTGAGCTCCACTTCCAAATACTATATATCAGTGATGGCGAGCCTTTTAGAGACCGAGTCCCCAAACTGCAACCCAAAACCCACTTATTTATCACCGGGTGCCAGGTGGGCATGGCCCACTGGGTGGGTGTGGCTGTGGTGGTCATGGCAGGCTGGGTGGGTGTGGCCAAGTTGGGCATGGTCACCTCGATGTTGCTCATGGGGAGGGATGCCTGTGGGGGCCGGGCAGGATTGGGGGAGATACAGGGGGTCTCTGGCTAGTGGGGCAGTGGGCAGGAGACTCGTCTTGCAGGGTGAGGCGAGGCAAGGCGAGGCAGGG